AGTATAAAATACACAGGCACACTTTATTTTATTTATTATTTATAATAAACCATAAACAGCAGTAACTTTATTCCCACCCACAAAAAATAAATAAATAAATAAAATCTGTTCAAGCAACACAAAGACAACCTGATATCAAACAGAAATATCTCATTAAAAAGCTGTCCACTCCATCACAATGAAGTGCTTCACTTTGTTGTTTCAAGCAGCTTTTCATACTTTTGGCCACAGGATGAAGCCAAAGAGAACTGTGTTGGAAAGCTTCGAGTAATGAACCCTTTTTCAAAGCAAGCTTCAGTGCTTCAGAAAAGCTTCATTTGCCCATGACTAGGGTCCCCAGACCCAAATGGCTTGAGAACTCCTGTTCTAGATTACTACTGGATGGCATTTAGACTTTTGCCACTCTGAAGTTTTCATTCTTTAAAAGGTGTTGATTTTACCTAAATTTAGGAACTATTTTAAACCTGTAGACATGACTATAATCCTGACCTGCTCTGTGGTTCCCAGCGTCACTAACGGGTTCTCACACTATCTTGCAGTCAACTTCTAATCTTTAACTACTAAAAGGTTGTTTTTCTTTTGACCTTTCAGATCATAAGAAAAAAAACTGCAAATGTTCACACAAAGGTGACAGGTGAACAGTAGTCTCTATAACCTCTTCTGTTCAAAGGATTTAGGTGCATGACCTAATGTTAAAAAAAATAAAACTTACCAGGTCATTTCAGAGAGTTTTAAAATCCAATCAAACCAAAACTTTGCTGAGTTTCTCTTGAGCTGAAATCTCCAGGCTGACTGATGAGCTTCACAAAGAAGCCACACCTTTCAAGCACACCTGCTTGCAATGCTCACACAAATCAACCACGCTGAACCAGAGCTTCATCATGGTGCTTTTTATTTTTTTTTATTCAGCAGCATCCATCAGGAAGTATGAATAATGAATATTATTATACCAGGAGGATGATTGAGGAGTTCAACCTCTTCTCTCTGGACCACAAATTATAAAGTACACCATAATTAATATTTACACATTCTTTTACAAAATCTAAAATGAATTCAGAAAGCGTGCAAACATGTGACTAAATGTTAGTCGGCTTTTGGAGACTAAGGCAGATCCCTGTGGCTAACAGGCCCCCTCAGTCTTTAACAATGATCTCTTATGCACATGAACTCCCTGGTTCCTCCTCTGAAGCATCAGTGTCGATGTTATACTCTGCTTCAGCTTTGACCACACCCAGCAGCGTCTTCAGGCTGGTAACAGACTTTGGTGCATGGTTGCATGCGTCTCTGCAGCAGCAGGTGTGCGTGACGTTGTACTCCACTCCACGGTACGAGACCATTTCATGGGAGCCGCAGAGCCCAGCGTCCACGCAGCCCTGAGCAGACAGGATGTGGACGGAGCCGTAGCGGCCTCTGGAGCTGGAGCAGCGCTGGGAGGGCAGGCACTGGCTGGTGACGCTGGAGCAGGTCTTGCCTTTGGGCTGCAGAGGACAGAAGTAGCAAAGCAGGCTGTCCAGGGTGAGAGCGGGGAGGACCAGAGCAGAGACGATCAAGATGGAGGACAGGAACCAGACTGGGCCGGATGGACGGACACCCATGCTGTGAATCATCCACAGACGAGTAAACACTATAAACAAGTTAACATTCAGATTTATTTTTTGTGTGGAGTTGTGTTCACCTGCTGTGTCTTTGTGACCCCCGTGTTCCTGCGATTGGCAGCCCAGCAGACACCTGAATTTGTGAGCCTCTGATTACTGATCAGAAGCAGGTGTGACTGAAAACAATGACGCACACACAGAGACACACACAAAACAAAAAGCTTCCCAGCTGGATTTGAAATTTATTGCTCTCAAAACCACATCTTGCTCACTGCTTCGAAACACTCTTCATCCCAGTTAAAGAATAAAAAAAAACCTCTGAGCTGAGAGAAAACAACAGAACTGCAGTGCCATCTGGTGTTTGAAGCACTGAGCACACACACCATCAGGAATCAGCCATGTGTAACAGTAATCCTGCTCTGGGATGTAGTGCACCACTCTGTGCACCATCAGTAAAAATCTAATGTTCAGCTTTCCAATGTGACTTCTGTTCTCCTGCTCATGTTCCATAGTCACTGGAAAATGACAGCTGCGCCTCCTTGTACAGTGGTTCCTGTGGAGAACATGAAAAAACAGGCATCAGATGAAGTTTTACTGCACAATACTGACAAATTAAGGGATATAGAAAACATAATGTAATACATTCATTCTAATGTTAAAATTATGTTTTTGTCACCAGATAGCAAAGCCAAAGGCAGTGCAATAATGTTTTATACTTGTGTTTGTACGTATGTGTTTATTTGTCTAATCCGTTATCTAATTATCTTCTGAATCACAGAACAGGCTTTTATCTCATTTTCTGTAACTAATCATTGGGTTTGAATCCACTATTGATTTGGAGTTAGCCCGACTCAAAATGGCCAGCACAGATAAGAAAAGTTAGCAAACATGAAATGTTGCAGGGTGTCCCAGTACCAGTTTTTCTCAAACTGAGTGTGAGTAGTTTGCATATTCTCCAATACTGAGAACTTACTGAGCTAGAACTTCAATTTTACATACATACAACTTGAAAAACACATTTATTTTATTGAGAACAAGGCATCTCTCCTTCCTTATAGGCCTACAGCCCCTCTGACTGGATCAAATCAAATATACTGCATGATATGTACTGTGGCAAGAGTTTTTAAATAAATAAAAATAACATAAGATTTTCTTTCAACTTGTGTATTTTTTTAAACATGGAACTGACAAATGTGTTGAAATGTAACACATTCAATAGAGTATCGTAGTATAGTATCCCAGTACTCACATTGGTTCCACAAATCAGGGCATTTTGTGTAAGTGTGAGTATTTGTAAAAATACAGGTATCAGGCCATCAAGATTTGAGGTGGTAGTTTCTGAGTTTGACCCCGCAACTCATACTCTAAGTGCCAACTGATCTGTTAAAAACTGTTTCAAACCAGCTGAGATTTGAACTCACTGCAGTTTGAAAAAGCGTTGGCAAAAAGTTACATTTTGAGCTTGATAATTAAACAGATTTCACACCGATTACTGAACTCCATTAAACAAACTGCCTCCATAAAGATTCAGTTCTTTACTTACAATGAGCTCTTCGTCCTCGTTCCCCCCATCAGCACTGCGCCACACTTCTTCTTCTTCCTCTGCGGGGTCGTAGCTGTACAGAGGAATCAGCCGGTGGCGCAGCTCATCTATTCTGAAAGGGGGATCAAAGAAAACAAAACCGAGGCAGAGTTTACAAAAGAAAAGAAAGACAAAAGAGCAAGTGTTTCTAAATTAGTTGCTTAAATTTGAAAATAAGAAGAACTCTACCTTGATCTCCTTCTGAAATAAGAAACCTGAGGAGGGACGCACAACCTTAGATACTTCACATGAGTCATGTTGCAGAGAATCAAGGAGAGCATAATTACCACTGCTACTATGGATCCTATCAGGGTCAGCAGGACCAGTGAGACGAGTGCAAAGTAACCAGGAAATGCAGGTTTGTTGTGTGGCGGTGGGGTGAAAGGTGTTGTGTAGTTTGGATTCATTTCTTTTCAGCTCAGTTCCCTCTTTCACTGGAGAGTGCCTCAGCTGACGCCACTGCAACGCCGTCATTCCCTCCGAAAGGTTGTCAAGAAGGTTCTTCTGCCTTAGGAAGGCTCAGGGTTCACGCTTTAAAGCATCGAAGAAACACGTTTTCCCATATTACTGAGTGAGTGTCTGATGGAGTACAGGATGTCTTCTAAAAAGCAAAAGAACAGAAAGAAAACTCACTCCGAATGTCAGTTGCAGCACTTCCAGTCACACATTTTCCTTCCTGCTTCCCTTTGCAAAGACACAAAAGACACCGAAGCGGCGTTCTTACTCACCAACCTGTTCTTTGGCATTCCTAAGTGAGGAGTGGATCAGCTGGTATCTGGCTGAACTGGACACAGTTGTGTTTTTATTTACATGTAAACTCTATGCAAATCTTTTAGGGCCTTGAAAGTAGAGAGATGTGCAAAACCTTCCTTGAATCACTGCATGTGGCCCGCCACCTTTCATGCTAGAGTTTTACAATACAAACATCACAAACCTGAAAAAATAACATATGAACAATCAAATGAAAGATGTCGTGCTCAGAGTATGTGTTGTGTTGTGCTATATTTTAGCACGGCAGCAGCGCTGAACAGACATTTGTGTGTTTCTAGAAGTCAGACGGCAGTGGCCATCTAAAAGTGGGTTGACTCCAAAATTTCATCTGCTGTTGATGTCATTTGTGAATGCCTTTCTGTGAATTTCAAAATAAAAAAAATTGTCCATTGGATCCGGAAATATTTCACACAATCACATGCACAAAAACATGACACATACTGCTGACTACCTTTTGGCATGAGGAACAGTAACGCTGGAAGTATAGTAAACGGGAAAACTGGAACAACAATATAAACTGCGCAAAAAAGTAAGAAAATTTGCATTTGGATTATTTCTTTGTTGTAGCAACGCTTCTTGGCTTTAAATCTTATAGCGGGCACCTGATTAGGAGCACCTGGGGGTACCAGAAGCTCAAAATAAGTGTCAAAAGCAACAAAAAATTAAGTGTTTGGCAGAAGATTTGCCAAACTTTTCATGTGCACTCATACTCTACTCCACTGTTCATCCAACAAATGCATGTTCATTACAAGTGTGGCACCATTTAAAAGGGAAATTATCAAGTTTTCCAACGATTTATTGCCAAAAGGCATCATTACAACAAAGAAATAATCCACCAAACATTAATTATCTTATTTTTTGGGCTAAGTTTTTATGTGTGTACGTGTACAATAATCCATGTTTAGCAAATAATAGCGAATAATTTAAGGTCAATTTCACGTTTCGTAAAAGTAGTTTAGTGTTCCGTAAAAGCTTGCGTCAACAACTAAATACAAAAATAGGGATGTAATGATGAGATCTCTCCAGCAGAGGGAAAATTGTTGCAGCTGGCTTGAGGAAGGGGACAGGGGGAGGAGAGGAGGGATGGAAGGAGGAGGAGGAGGAGGAAACAGCTGGGAGCAGCAGTACAGGTTTAACTCGCTCAACATTTCACACTGACTCAGGACTCACGATGGCAGAACTGTGAAGGTAAGTTTCCAACACAGCAGCCTCACTACTTTAGTTACAGTTCTTTTTTTTTTATTTGATCCTGAGCTAAAATGAAATGCCTAGGGCTGTATGTTTAAGAATTGTTAAAAAAACACAACTACTATTCTTATTAATTAATTTATTTAAAGTTTGCACAGTTTTTTAAATTCCTTCTAGAGGCTCAGATTATATTAAAATAGAACAGATGTTTTTAAGACACTTTGGCGCGCTCCGGTACATTTCCTGTTAAGATTTGAAAACTTGTTAATGATTAGACTAACCTCAGGTTCAGTTTAAGACTCACAAAAGGCTCCACTTTTTCTTCCTGTAATTAGTCACACATTCATACAATCCAGAACTCTGAATTCTTGTTTTCTTTTTCTTATTCCACCCTAGAGTTCTTTATTTTGCCTCACTGTGAAGTGAGGACTCTGAGGATTGAAGACCACCAGAAAAACAAACTGCCACAAATTCATAAAATGGATCCCAAATGTCAAACGCAACCTTTCCAGAGGCAGCCTTCAGTCACGGACAATCCACTGCCTCTCAGAGATGATATTGAGCCTATTTATGAAGACACTGTGGAACATATTTATGAGATGAACTTCCCTGGTTTTGTGAGACCTCATGAACCTCAAACCAATCCTCCAGAGTCAGGACGTCCTGGGAATCTCAACTCCCACAATGGAAATCTTTATCCAACACCAACAGTCGGTTTGAGGCGTCACAGTGCACCGATTTTACCAACCCGTGTACCCCCTCCTCTTCCTCCCAGGCCAGAGAAAATGCAGAACAAGACTGTTTCGAAGTTACTTCGTTCCGCCACAGACGTTAAGGAATATGTAAATGCTTTCAGCTATTTTCTTATGGCTGATGTTATAAAATAACAAATAGGAATGGAAATGTGAAGTTAAAATATGAAGTTGATATTTTTTCCCCTCATTTAGGATCCATGGTCCATTACCCTCATAGACTCTCCAGAGGGAAGCACCAAAGATCTGGCTTCCTTTTGTGCTTCAACTTCAAGGTAAGACAATGATTCAATATAAATAATACAAATGTTTTCAAAGCTCAACGATACCCTTTCTTGGTTTAGTTGCTCCACATCTCTTCATCTTTCACTTTGACATTGTCAAACCTGTATTTTGTTTGGCTCCTTGGACAGGCTGATGTCACAGTACAAATACACAGACAAAGTCTACAATTCAGGTGTCGTATTTTGTCAACTGTTACACATCCACCCGGCCCTGCTGCAGCAGGTGGAGGTGACAGTCTGCATCTCCAGTGAGCAAAATAATCACCAGGTTCCCCTTCCTACCCCAGGTAAGAAAAACTCATGAAGTGACTGGAAAATTACCAAGAAAAACTCTGTAGCAATGCATAATGCAAGGTACTTGTGCATACCAGGTACACGCAGGTTACATAATTTTTACCCAGTAAGATGCATACCAGCTACATACCTAATACATACCTACCAGTTATGCACATGGTTTGAAGTGTGTACTTTATATAGCATGTATTGGGTGCACACCTGGTGCTTACTTACTAATTACCTGGTACACTCTCTGTATGTATACATGTAATAGGAAGTGACTTGTTATGTTGCTACAGAAATCATACCTGTTTCTTACCTTGTATGTTCCAGGTACTTTCCAAGAAACAATGTAAAGCTATTTTTGGAAGCTAGAGCTGGCCCATGGCATTGGCAGTTGAGGCAAATGCTAGGTGTGCCATTCATCTAGGGGGCACCACAAATACAGGATGAAAAAAATTGTAACTTTTTCATCAGCATTATAGTTGATTTAGTCTGTAGAATAAATCACTAGCTACTCAGGTTTATGTTCTGTGGGTTTCTCAGCTGTTTTTTTACTACATGAGGTGTTATATGATGCAGTGTAAATTTCATGATAAAAGTGTCATATGATGCAGTCAAGACTAACCACTGGTGCTCAGTGTGTAAATAGAAAACAAAATAAGGATAGTCCAAGTTTCAGTTCTGATCTCATATAAAGTTCATGGTAAAGTCTGGTTTTCAGCATTCTACCTTCATAAAATACTGATCTTATGTTGTTTTATTAATCCCAAGGATTTAGTAAAATGCTTTTCAAATGGCTTGAAAATGCATAGTTTTGAGTAGATCATTAATAAAATTCTCAAGGGGTGTACGCCCCCAGACCCCCCTAGAACTGCTTCACACCACAGCAGCTCATTAACATGAACAGGTGCTCCTCATAGCTGTCAACAGATGCTGACAAAGATTTTTAGTATTCTGTTTTGAATGAGTTATATTGTTAACTATTTAATGAAGTCTGGTATGTTAATGTATGTGAATACGGGTGCAAAATTGATTAGGGCTGGCCCTGTTTGATGCATACATAATACAGATCGGTGTGTCCAAGGTCGTATCTAGTTAGAACCAGATATGTGCTCCAACAGTACCCAGCATGTACCTGGTAAAAAGCAGTTACTTACCCTGTAAGTATAAGGTAACAAAAACCAAGCATGTACCAAGTAAATACCTGACACGTGTCTAATTGTACCTGCTGCATACCAGGCTGTATTATGCATTGTTATCATACTCTCTTGATAAGAGTTCTTGCAAAATAGTCCATGTGAAAACTTCTATTGGTTAGATATTTGCATGTATGAGTTTTTACAGCCAAATATCTGAAATTACTCCAAGTTAAATATTACACTTTAATTTATGAAAAAGGATGATTAGTCGTTTTTTTATTATGCCTCTGCTCACTGGGGCCAGAGGCATACTGTTCTCTGTCTGTGAGTTACAGTGCAGTGTCCATCCATCACAGGTGTGGTCATGTGTGCATGATATCTCCTGAATGAAAGTTTATATTTACTTATAAATGGGCAAGTAACTTCATTAGGGTAGTAATCAGTCTTACTAGAGTTGGGCATCAAAGGTAAATGTCATTTATGATGATTGGCAATATAAAACTGGCATTTTTTCAAAAACAGACATGTTTAGGGCAGGCAGAGGCATACCAATTGATGCTTCGGCATCAAGTTCCACCTTGCTACAGTAGAGTCAGCATTGCACACCTACAGAGTCATGGTTGTTAAGGAATAAAGAACCAAGTGCTGTTGGCACAAGTGTGTGGACTCTGACCTCTAATCTTTGTTTCAGTCAACAGGATGGTAAAAGATCTAATCGCTCAGTACTGTCAGCTGCTGGACATCCCAAACGAAGAATATGTTTTAAAAATGTGTGACACTGAAGAGTTTCTCCAAAAGTAAGTCTGTCACCATGTTTGTCTGGTTATACAAAAATAAATAAAAATAATTCCAGTGATGCACCTCTTCTTTGTCTAGATCTGTTTTTTTTTTTTTTTTTATGAAAGGTGCATTATTCATTTTTCTGTCTCTCTTTCTAGTGACGAGCTGCTTGGATTGCACAAGACAGTTCAGATCTATTACAAGCTAAAAATGGTGATCAATCTTCGACTTTTCCATATAAACAACCTGGACCGTCATCTGGCCCGAAACGTGAGTCAGTTCAAATTTCTTCTCTGACCCCTCACCCTCCAGATTACTTACTGAGCAGGGCGGGGCTTATCAGCAAACTTGAAACGCTGCTTTAGCAAATACCTGTGTTTGGGTTTTAGTGAGTTTGTTGTCATCATCAGGGTTGTGGTGGCTGCAAACCCCGTCACACTGCAGTCCTGACTTTGTTTTGTTTACACATATTGTGAAGTCACTGCTTTTAGCAGCAAGTGTAAAACTAAATAAAGGAAAAATTATCAGTATTTTTTTGCCATTTATTATTTTGAAGTCAATTTTTTTTGGTAAAACTTTCATTTATGAACTACAAATATCCTAATTAATAAAACTCTGTTTGTTTTCGAAGGCTGAAGATGATATAACTGCATGTCAACCAAAACATTTTCTGTGTCCTGTCATTGTCTACACTACGTCCAAGTAAGAGAAGACACTGAGCTAATTTCATTTTCTGTAATGTTGGTTTTTTTTTTTGTGTAGAGTCGGCTAGAGTTTTTAGAAAACACTTGGTTTGTTTTGGGTTGTGCGAATGTCAGCTGGTCATCTGTGTGTGTTTTATATGTTGTGATAGGCTGAGCATGATGGATGTCCTCGCTACTTACAACAGACACATAGAAAATCTCATGAGAACTAAGGTGAGATGATAAAACAACCAGTGCTGACTTTATTGTCCCAAAAAGATAGTTTAGATTCTCTGTGGAAAGGTTATCGTCAGTGTCTTACCTGTTTTGAATAGTTTTTTTAAACAACCTAAATCCTTCATTTTCACATTTAAATCATTCATTTGGGGTCTATTTACAGTGGAATTGCAATGCTTTGGTCCGAATTCCTCCTTATTGTAACTCCACAAGCCCCTCTTTCCCCTCTGTTCTGAGGTTCGTCTCAGATTAACTCATTTTGATGCCGTTTCTTTAAATTCAAAGGAAGCCCCTCACCCCACCCTCTTCTGGCTAAAACAGTGAACTTTGCATTTTAGACTTCTTTGATTTTAGATTTTAGACTGAGGACCTAATAGATTGTCTGTAAATGCAATGACATAGACATGTCTGTAAACACATTTACATCTGTGTGACAGAGTAAATACCTTGATCTAAGTTGTATATTTTCACATCTTTTAGTCGGGGGTGAACGCCAGTCAGGTTGTGGACACTGTTCGCACCATCAGCAATCTTCTGTCAGGACTTTCGTGTCAAGAATTAGAAGATGCCATTGGTGGAGTCAACAGAATCCCACGAACAGCTCTGGTAGGATGTTGGCACACATTTGTAGGATTGATCTCAAATTAAAATGTAGGCCATGGTTACCGATTGAAACTATGCTGAACAATGCAATGCTGTGCTTCTCCTGTGTGTTTTACAGAGTTATGATGAAATGTCTGATTTTGAAACTGGTAAGTGATTTTAAAGAGTTTGCTGTATGATTTTTTTGTTCAAAATGACAATTAGAACATGAGGGCTGTACTTAGTACATAAACACTGTATTGACATGCTCTCTTGACTGTGTCTGTTTTACAGCTTTGATCATGCTCAACGGGGCGCTGCAGAAAGTACTGCAAATATATTTTGACAATTTCCCGTCCAACTTCAGATCCCCGAGAATTATTGGCAGCCCCGAAGTCTACGACATTGACAGCAACTCAGACATCTTGCAGTTTAATATCGCATCCATCTACAAGCTGATGCCCTCTTGGCTGAGGTATAGGCCACACCCACATTCTGCGGCATATGTGTTCACCTGACTCACATGTTGAACATGGATATAATCTGCTTTCTCTCTTTTTTTTTTTCTTTGTCTGCTGTAGTTATGAGAGCTTTTCTCTTACCTGTGACTTGACACATGGAGAAAAAAAGATCTGTGACACCGGGATTTCTGAGAATATCAGCACAGCCTTGTCGCACGCCAACAAGATTTACTGCAACCGCTTGTAAGGTTTTTAACTAATAGTGTTTACCCTATAGAGCAAATAAATAAAATGATGACAATCACAGTCCTTAAATATAAAACAAAGTTTAGATATTTAAACTGTATGTTCTTTTATATTTCAGAATGGTGTTTCCTGTTCCAGTCAATCAGCTACCGTATGAATGCATGATGACAATTCACCTCAAAGGCACAAAGCGGGGCAAAACCCCAGAGATTTTAGGCTGGGCTGTGCTGCCTCTGTACAACAACAGGTGGGTTTAAACCGCTTAAACTTTTTATTAATTTCATTAATTAAGGGCTGTATTTTTTTACTGATCCAAAATTCAAGTTTATTTTACTTTAAAATGATTTCAGAGCCGATGAACACGAGTTTATAGTCGTTCAATGAGTTCATGAACAAGATGAGATGAGAGGCCCAACCAGTGGAACAATTTGGCACAAAGAGTTCAGATTGATGTTGAAGTGACAGCTCAGATCCTTTGAAGTAAAGTTATGCGAAAAGAATTATGAACAATCTTACCCATGCATTACATTTACTCAGCCAAACTCAGTGCAATCAAGTTGTTCATCACGTCACATTCGGCTGTTTATTCCAACATTTCTTTGCATTAACTATCACAGCACCCAGGGTTGCCATATAAGAAATGAAGAATTATTATGTTTATCCTGTGTTGAGTGAGAGTGCACTTTCTTGCTCAGCTGAGAGGTGAGAGGTCGAAGTGCACTTTCTGGTTCAACAGTGGGAGGGGCAAATGAGGTGTGTTGTGACTACATGATGAGCACGTGCACAGGTGAGGAGGAGTGTGCTCCTGTCAAGCGCACAGATGATCTGGCTGCTCAGATCAGCATTTCTGATAATATGTGGGTGTTCACATACCGTACATAAAAATGTGGGATTTTCTGTTCATGGAATTGCCAAAACTACTGTATTGGTCCTTTTTAAAAAACTATTCACTATATAACATGTAGACCCTAAAACTATTGTGTAATTACCGTACAGTATTTACTATATATTAGGAAATACTGATGATACCTGACTGTGAACACATATAGTCAGTTAGTGAGTATTGTTAGATGTTTTGAATAGTAGCCGCTAACTAAGCAGAGATCAAAAAAATAAGTAGGTCCTCTGGATGGGTTCTTCTTTAGTGAAACGTTTCCTCTCTCCTCCAAGAGACTTCTTCAGTCTGATGAGTTTCAGGTGAACTCAGCCTTATAAGCACTGCCTCCACATGGTGGACAAACAGGCTAGTCACATGCAAAAGAGGGCCATCGCCTAACAATAGGCTTGATTAGCTCCATTTAGTCACATGCAAAAGAGGGCCATCGCCTAACAATAGGCTTGATTAGCTTTATTGCTCAAAGTTGTTGTTGTTGTTGGTCAGGTTGTTTGTTATTGGTCATGTGCCCCATCACCTGACCCGTGTCGTGTTATGTGTATGTAGTGAGTGCAAATGGGCTCGACGTCCCCTTGTTTTTTGTCCCTCTTTCCCTCTTTGTGTTGGGTATCATTGGGGCCCTGATTCACACCTCTTGCTCACAGGGATTATTTCACCCCAAAGATCCAGTTCCCCAGCAAAAACAGAGTAATATAGAATATGTTGTTAAGTGTCAGGAGGACTGTGATCAGTCATACATTGGGGAAACAAAACAGCCACTGTTCAAAATAATGAGCCAACACAGACGAGCTACGTCATCGGGTCAGGAGTCTGCAGTTTACACTCATCTACAGGCCAGCGGTCACTCTTTCAGGGATGAAGATGTTCTCATCCTTGATAGAGAGGAACGTTGGTTTGAGAGAGGAGGAAAGGAAGCCATCTTTGTGAAGAAAAAACATCCACCATTAAACAGAGGTGGAGGCCTTCGTGTCCAGTTGTCCTCCTCCTACAACGCTGTTATTGCAAGTATGTCTCAGCCTCCTGTGAGCAAAATGTGTGAATCAGGGCCCCAGTGATAACCAACACAAAGAGGGAAAGAGGGACAAAAACAAGGAGACGTTGAGCCCCGCTTGCACTCACTACATACACATAACAAGACACGGGTCAGGTGATGGGGCACATGACCCTCTATGAACAATAGAGCTATTCAAGCCTATTGTTAGGCAATGGCCATTTTTGCATGTGACTAACCTGTTTGTCCACCATACGGAGGCAGTGCTTATAAGGCTGAGTTCACCTAAAACTCATCAGACTGAAGAAGTCTCTTGGAGGAGAGACGAAACGTTTCGCTAAAGAACAACCCATCCAGAGGACCGACTTATTTTTTTTTTTCTTTTCGATTTTTTTCTACCTGGATTACTGAGCTGCATCAGGACAACTAAGCAGAGTGTTTCATTTTCAACCTTTGGAACTTCCTGCAGGAATATAATATTTCTGTCAGAATAAACATGTCATAAGAAATAAACAGCAGTATAAATGTTTCTAAGATAGTGCTTATATAAAGAGCTGTAAAGTCTTTAAGACTGAAGTTGTGTTACGATGGCAGCAATGGTCTCGCTCAGCAGTTAGCTTGTCAGTCCAGTCTCATTTAACTTCAGATTTATCTCCAGCTTCGATTGCTCAAAGATCTCCCATCTATTTAAAACAAAATGTTCTTTTTTTAGGTTGTGAACTGAATTGAAGGAAATGGCTGTGTAACAACCTTAAGTGTTCATTAAAGCAAAATTACTGACATTTAGCGCCTGCACTCTGTCTTTTTAGGACTCTTGTAAGAGGAACTGTTCTGCTCAGCCTTTCCACTCTCGCTGAACTCTCTTTTCCTCCCTCTCCTGCCCTGTCTGACCTCCACAAACAGCCCATAGGAGTCATCCTGCAGGTCAGTGACTCCTCTGCCCTCACACTGATCACACAAATGGCTTTCTAAAAACATCCTCATCATTTTCTCCTTTCACAGCTCGAGTTTAACGACGAGAGTGAGTGGGAATATCGCAGACCTGTGGCTCTTCCCGGCTCAATCAAATTCTCCCAGCCGTGTCAGGAAGTGCAACAGAAAATGTTGGCTATTTCCAAAAAGCATTGTCCCTGCTTGTGAGTGGAGTGATTCTTTTGTTGTTGTAACAGAAATGTTGTCATTAAAAATTAATCTTTTTTTACAAGTTTATCAGACAATGAGAAGTCGTTCCTGTGGAGTAAACATTACTGCAGTGACCAATCGAGCACCTTCCTCCACCTCCTGCTTGCTGGTGTCCCCCAGTGGCAGCCTCAAGACCTGACAGTAATCTACACCATTGTAGACAACTGGCTCATCCATCTACCTGAGGAGGCACTTTTCCTGCTTACTGCTAGGTGAGCAGCACTGAGTTCATAAAAATAGTAATTTAGATTAAAAATACCTTTTTGTTTGGTTTTTACACCTAACATATTGTGACAAAATGATATTCTGCTTGTTGTAAGATACAGCACCATTGGTACATGGTCTATGTTCTGCACTCATACACTCACATAGTAACACAAATGATGTTGGCTGAGAAAACAGCACCAAATTAAACAGATGGTTTCATGCAAAAAGTGTGGAGGTTTAATATTAGTTAATGTTGTCTTTTAAGCCTGAAGAATTATTTTTTAAAAATCTGGCACTTGTTCAACTAACCATTAAGCCTGGGCAAAGATTTCGTTTCTTTTTCTTGATAGTCTGTGTTTTGTGACTGTTGTCACGACAGATAAAATATTGAAAATCACAGTATTTGGCAAACAATCACTTCAAAGTTGACTGGACTAACCCTTTAAACCGTTTTGACACTATTTCTTTATCCTCCATGTTAGTCTTGTGTCTAATTTAAATGTCTTTTTTTTTAGTTTTCCTGATGAGATTGTTCGGCTGGCCGCAGTGCAGTACTTCCAACAAATTTCAGATGCAGAACTGGAGATGTACCTGCCTCAGCTGGTCCAGGTCAGCAAACGAACACACAGCTGAAACATTTACAAAAGATTTTATTCTCAGGGAAAAAAATACAGAAATGATTTCCAACCTTTCATTCTTCTTATACACCATTATTACCTGTGTGTGTTGAAAGGTTTGTTGTTTTTCACACAAGGCAAAATTGTTGTGTTGCTGTTGCAAATTTCAGTCAATTTCAAAACATGTGATACAGTTTTGGGGTTCTTAGTATTTTGATAAATCTGTCTTCCAGGCGCTGAAGAATGAGTGGAAACTGGATGGACCTCTGGTGATGCTCCTGTTGGACAGATCTGTGAAAAACATAAGGATAGCCCAACAGTTTTACTGGTGAGTCCAGTAAAAAAGTTTACTCATGAATCTCTTTACAGAATTTTGATTTCTACACTAAAATCAAAAGAAAAAGCCTTACTTTGCCACTTGTATTTTTTATTTTCACCGTATTTGAGTTTAATTTTATATTTTCTACTCACCCACATCCGCTTTCCCTTAAGTATCCCACAATTTAAGAATTGAATACCACAATAAATGTGGCTCTTTTCTGCCTTTTTGATTCTATTCTAACTCCTCTTTAATATTCATGACACCTACCAGGTGTTGGTGAATGTGTGTTGATGTGCAGACAGCTTGTTTTTTTTCCAGACACCTGCGCTCACAGAGTTCATGTTTTAATAAACTGTTAGGCTTCTGGAAGACGCCCGCCTTGATACTCACTTCCAGGGCTGGTATAATAAAATCCAGGCCACCCTGTTGCACTGTTGTGGCCGAGCGCTGAAGGAGGAGCTTAAGCATGAAACCCGACTGGTAGAAGTGCTTGTACAAGTGGCTATAAAGGTTCACAGTGCTGAAAAGTCTCGTCGTAAGGTACAGAAAAAGACCCCTTCGCTTTGAACACTCACTGACTTTCTAATCCTTTGTTTTTTTTTTGTTTTTTTTACTGGAGTATCTGTGTCATTTTGTCCTTTTTACAGAATGTTTTGACCCAAGAGAGGTGGACAATTAATGATTTTTTTAAAGGTGGAACCAGCTGTTCTCTACCATTGGATGTTGCAGTCAGTGTAAAGGGAATAGACATTGACGTAAGAGCATCATGATACTCAAAACACTTACATTCGACACTGTATACATCCTGGGGCGAAGCCAGAGGGGTGGAGCTGGCACCTGATTGGCCAACCCCAAATAATAGACAACTGGGTGGGGATCTTGGACTTTGTATTTGAACTTAGATTTTGTTAAAGGTTGTTTTCTGATACTACTGTACTATAGGAATGTTTTAGCCCTGGGTGTTTAAAAATGGCTGAATTATAGCCCTTTGTAAAGTTAACATTTACATTAGTGGCTGTCTTAATTTGGGATTAGCATTGACAGGTGGCTATTCTAAGCTCCCCAAAACAAATTTCATCTCAAGTTCTAAAATGGCTGAAATATGAGCTTTTAAAAATAGCTGTGGTGGCCATCTTGAATTTTTGATTAGCATTTAGAATTTGGTAAAGATTGCTTTTACACTAATCGTAAGCTTTGTATGTTTAAAAATGGCTGAAAGTAAGTTGTGGCTAGAATTCAGCATGGTTTTGGATAATTTTTAACTACTATCACACAAAAGTTCAGCTTAATATTTCCAAAATTAGCTGTGGTGGCCATCTTGAATTTTCAAATCCAGAGCGTTTTTCTTTGTATGTGTGTGCCCTCTAAAGAACGTACCTTTTGCCACCCCTTGAAAAAACAGCCTAGCTCTGCCCCTCCATCACTGGTAATGTTCAGTAATTTAGAATTTTTCATTTGATATGCAACTTGCAGGCCTGTAAATTCTACAACTCCAATGCTGCTCCTCTGGGTGTCACATTTATCTGTAAAGATTCTCAGGCTAAGAACGTTGGTGTCATCTGCAAGGTAAGCAGCTAGTGTTTTTTTTTTAATTAATTCACGAGAAAATCACTCTAACGCAAAAAAAAATCTGTCATTTAGACAGGAGATAACCTGCGTCAGGACATGCTGGTTCTTCAGATTGTTCGAGTGATGGACATGGTGTGGCTCCAAGAGGGGTTGGACCTGCAGATGATCACCTACAGGTGTTTATCAACAGGCAATAACCAGGGTAAGGCTGCTTTAATGGAACATTACTTCATATTTTCAATTATTACTGCCTGCCACCGGGAGGGTAATATGCTTATATTGCTTTTTGGTTGCCAGGCTTGGTGGAAATTGTGCCCGAGTCTGTGACCCTGGGAAAAATTCATCAGGAGTTTGGCCTGAGTGGGACACTTCGAGAAGACACGCTGGAGAAATGGTTCCACGAGAGGAACAAAACTAAGGAGCAGTACGAAAAGGTTGAGACTTCATTTAACCTGACATTTTCCTCTTGCATACTTTATGTAGCTGCATTGTGTCTCATTATGTGTGTGTGTAGGCTGTGACGAACTTCATCCACTCGTGTGCAGGGTGGTGTGTAGCCACCTTCATCCTGGGGATCTGTGACCGCCACAACGACAACATCATGTTGAAACAAACTGGACACATGTTCCACATCGACTTTGGCAAAATCATGGGCAACGCGCAGATGTTTGCAGGCTTTAAAAGGTAAGTCGAGAAGGAAGTGTGCGGAGGACCTGTGGCGCTGAGAGTGAGACAGAGCAATAACCTCCTCTGACGCAACAACAGGGACCGACCACCCTTTGTTTTCACATCTGAGATGAAGCACTTCATCACAGGCGGGGGGAAGAAGCCCCAGCGTTTGCACGGCTTCGTGGAGCTCTGCTGTGAAGCTTACAACATAATCAGAAGGCGTTCTGCTCTGATACTGAGCCTGCTGGAGCTGGTAGGACTTTTTAATTTATTTTTTCTAAATAAAGATGCAAACAGAAACGATCTATCCGTATAACGTATTTACATTAATACGGTGCATTTCCAGATGCTTTGTGCAGGAATGCCAGAACTGAAGGACTCTAATGATCTGCAGTACGTCCAAAACAACCTCCGACCTCTCGACACAGACCTGGAAGCCACTTCCTACTTTACAAAGTAACTCATCTCTTTGCATCTTCTTAAAGTAATGCCCCTGTGAAAGCATAACCTCACCCCCAGGCAAATTTTAAAAAATTCCAACAAAGTGGGCAATTGGTCAGGACAGAACAGGCAGCTAGCTTAAATTGAAATATTGAAAAGTTTTTTTCTCCGCTCATCATCAGAGGATAAGGGAAGCTTTGTGGAGCCCATTGGGACTGAGCCTTATCAGTTTGAATTGCTGGATCAAGGTGCTGACTCAGCAATAATCAAAGCCAGGGATGCTGAGTCAATGGAGGCAAAAACTTTTATACCCAAACAAGGGGGCTGCAACATAGACATAAACTAAGCTGTACTGTTGTGACTAATAGGAAATTTAAACTGCAGGAGCCACCATTCAGCCTGTAGAGGGCAGCACTAAAGTGGTTTTAAACCAAATACTGCAGAATTAAACAAATTTACATGAAAATATCAGTTTGCACAGAAACACGTGTGGCATAGGCAAATGCTAAGGACAATGTCATGTAGGGGGGCGCCACAAATGGGGGACAAAATAACAAAGTTTTATAAAATTTTAATAGCATATAATTGATTTAGTTGATTTATTCAAATGGCTGCAAAATGCATAGTTTTGAGAGAATTTTGACAAAAAATTTGCGGGTATACCACATGACCCCTCTAGAACTGTTTCACTCCACAGCTGCTGGTTAACATGAGCAGGTGTTCCTTATTGCTGTAAAGCAAATTTTGGCAAGTATTAGGTAGACATGTGGTATTCAGTTTCAAATTCATTTTAATTGGACTACCTGGTTTTTGAAGATGAAAAAATAATATCAAAGCCAAAACTATTTAATTAAATATGCGAGTAAATGTAAATTGGAAGTAAGATATAGAAAATTGCACAAGGAGCACTGCCTGAAATCTTGCCTAGGGTACCAAATTGTCTAGAGCCGGCTCTGGATAGCACCCGTAAGGTTCAATTTAGACAGTTTATCTGCAAAAATGTTGATTTGGGGTTTAGTTATACTTTAATAAATACCTTACATATGTTTTTTTTTTTTTTTTCATTTTTGAAGTTGTGTTAAAAGGATTACACTGATTTTAGAAGTAGGGTTCTTTGAAGATGTAATGAACTCTATCCCTCCTTTTGTACAAAGCATTTTGATCTTTCCACAGAATTCCACTTCAGAAGATCTGAACCCTGTGGTTTCTGTGTCACCTCTGTTGTAGGAAAATCAAGGAGAGCATGGGCTGCGTTGCAGTCAAGTTTAACTTCTTCGCACACACCATGGCTCAAGGGAAAAAACAAGAGCCACAAGCTCCAGACATCAACCCCGCTCCGAGAACCAACATCCAGAAGGCTGTCATTCAGGCATACTCTGGGAAGGGAAAATATGTGGTGAGAGGCCGCATGTCGCTTTTCTTTGATGCTCCTGATGCACCGCATGGCTTTGTGTTAGATCTCCTGGGGAGCTGATAAAACACTCAGAACTGACAGCAGGCTCACACGTTTCTGGTCTGAGAGGAATAATCCATGACACTCAGCTGATACCGTGTGTGTATATTTGCTGTTACTCCTAAGAAGCAGAGCTGGGTTTGGAAAGTCTCAGCATCTCTCCCCAGAGCTGAGCGATGGTGATGTTTGTTGGGGTCTCGCAGCTCTTTGATCAGAGGTTTCCTCGTGACGGGTTCGGAGTCACAGCGGAGTGCAGAGACTCGCCTGCTTATTAGGACTGCGGTTCATGTGAAGTTTCAGTGCTTTAACTGAGACATCAGTGGTTAATACTTTAATACTGTCACCGTGTCTGCATGCTTCAACACAGACTTATGAATTAGCTCTCATGTATTTTTTCTGTTTGTGAACTTCAGACCTATAAGCTGGTAATAACCATCGACGATGGTTTGTTGTCAACTGATTTCACATTCAGCCAGTTTGAACTTATTCACAAGAAGTTGCAGAAAATCTTTAACAAGCTCCCACAGTGAGTAAAAAAAAACCCATTTTCTATTTTATTCTACAGATGTTATTTTGACATTGCTCGTTTTTTTCACCCGTTTAATAAAGAAAGACATGTTTCTTGTGCAGTTTTCCTAGCTGGTATCAGATGTCATTCACCCCAGAACAGAGGAAGCACGACCTGAATAAATACCTTAAAGAGCTTTTTGAAGGGCCGTGCAAAGGGGTAAGTTTTGTTTTTGAATGTTTTTTTAATACAACTTTCACAGTTCGTTTAAAATGTGTCATTGTGTCATCTGCAGGATGAATATGTGTGCAGCTTGTTTCTGGATGGCCCCAAAATGAACGACTCTGTTGATACAGGTTTGTTTTATCCCGGCAAGAATTGCTTCATTTATTGTTAACGTTTTGCTGTGAAGTTCTGACACGGGTTTATTTGCATTTTGCAGGGGTCATTCCTAAAATCCAGCTACACATTTCATATTCCAACTGCAAGCTCTCTGTGTTGATAAAACACCTGCAGAACATTGTGCGTTTAATTCTTACATTTGTAGTTTGAGATTTATTGGAATAAAAGGTGCAGGTTGTAAATGTGTTCTTTTGGGGTTTGTTTTCTGTTTACAACAGAAGCAGTCAAATGGTTCGAACCCTGATCCCTACGTTATCACACGTCTGAGACCCGACCCTCTGCAGAACTCGAAGAGGAAGACAAAAGTGGTCCGCAACAATGACAACCCCATCTTCAATGAGCTGGTAAACCTTCCTATATGCTATCTATGAATTAGCAAATTTGGTCATATTAAATGGGATTTTAGGTCAACTTAAAACAACTAAAACGTAAAATTGCTATCATCAAAAATTCACAGTAAAATAACAAACCTGCTGTCAGTTTAGCATGATTATTTACATCCAATGACATGGAATTTAACAATTTTCAGACAAAATATCTATACAAATTAGTACTGAAATCAATGTAAATGTTTAAATATTATTTTATGCCAAAATTCTGTGAAATGTTTAAGACTGGCACAGTTTTAAAAATAGAATCAATAAAAATCTACAAGTTGTTTCACCAAATGTGTTTTGAGCGTCAGGTTTACAGGCAGTCTATGATGGACGCGTGTCGAGAAGTGCTGCGGCGCATCTAGCTCAGCGTGTTTTGAGCGCTGGAAAATCTGAACTTTTGCAGCTTGACACAGAGCGTCAGCCAATCAGAGAGACTCCACTGTGTGACGTAGTGGCACAGTTTCCTATGGTTCGATTTTCTGAACGATGTCCACTAACCTGAGACAGATGGACAGGAGCTCTTCAGTGCCTGCAGTCGGTGTCCTGGCAGGAGATATCAGCACCGATGCAGGTCAGCAGCTCATCAAACTGAGCTCGGGACAAAAATGCTTCTGAAAGCAAGCCTTCTCAGCTCGCATTTCTGAGTGGTGAAACTCACCAAACTCAGAACGTCTCTGAATTATCTGGTGAATTAATTCTGAATTAATTATCTGGTGAGCGTGACGTGCTCTTGCTCTCAGTAAATAAAGCAAAGCCACTTCCTTTATTTCATCTGCCATGAAACAGAGACTGGCAGAGGAGGAAAACGAGAGGCTCTTGACGTGCTTGATGGGCATCAAGAGCAATTTTGATGAGCATCTGACTTTAAAGAACACACGCGTGTAACTTGAAGCGTTAGACGCGTTTTTAACACTGTGTGAATGCAGCATAAAACTTGGCTTTAGCTGTGTTCAACCATTAGCATTTAACTAGCTATCAGCTTGTCAGTCAGATCAGAATTTAACTCTTTTGCCAAATTGATGTAGTTCAAGAACATATCTACAACAGGTAAGATAATTATAACTTCTACAACAGAATTAATTTTGATACAGCCAAACTATAAACAGTGGTATTTAACGGAATACTGTTATGAGTTCAACCATGGAATACTCAGGGTTAATCTAAGCAGAACATGTATTCAAGGCAGAATTTCTTTCACAAGAGACACTGATCCTGAATTATCTGTAAGGTCTTGATGTTTATCTGAGCTTCTCACATTGTTTCTAATTACGTCATCATGTAAAACATCTGCAAAATTCCAGGCTAACAATGTCTGCAAAAGTGGAGCAGCTGTCCCACTTATTGACTCTTATTTACTACATAACTACAGCTCCATCAAATGATAATGCACAGATTATCATCGGATTATATATATATAT